CTGACAGGCACCACATGAATAAAAACCCAGATGTTTAGTTCAGTTTTATCATAGAAATCAGGAGGACGGCATCGCCCTCTGCTGCTCGTGCCTTCTCCGCTGATCCTCGAGTCCTGCGAGTAGTCGAGCGTGTCAACTCCTTCGTCCCTGCTCTGTGTTTACGATCCGTGTGTTCTGCCAGTCCATATGTGGTCTTCCCTTGTACAGTGGTGCATGGTAGTTCATACATGACTCCACATGTTTGTGCTGATATCTCGTCTTTTGGGTGTATTAGTCTTTATAACCGTCATTTACGGTTTTGTTGGTGTGTTTATGTTGTGGTTTTTCATTGCTGTTATAATCTTTTCTGTTATGCCTTTGATGTATGGAAGGATTATTACTGGTTTTGGCTCAGTGTTTTCTGGTTCTGGCACGGGCAGCAGAGGGCAATATCATCTTCTGCTGCCTGCAGATAAAAGGAAGTGACATCATCAATATCCGACAGTTGCTCTGACGAAGGTGGTGAATGTCGAAACATGTCAGCAACAGTAACAACAAACCCTTATCTCTCTGTTTAACGAAGAACTAAAGAAAATGAAGCTGGATAACAACACAGTAGGAACATAACAAAGATAAATATGACATCTCTATAAATGATTGTTTCTTAGTTAAAACGTGTAAATCTACTTTTCAAGCTCTGTTTTTTTACTATTTTCCTGTTCAGTCGGTCTTGTATTTTCCTGCATCTCCTCTCAATTCTCCAGAGAAAGTGCTGCCTAGCTTCCTACTTTTCACCTAGAGAGCGGGGTAGAGGTGTGGTGGAGGTGGGAATGGGGTCAAAAATAGGGAGCCTAATTTTTTCGGGACCGTGAATGGGGCTATGGCAGCTAAAAGCTGTGTTCTGGTCCGTTTTGCCTCACACCCTGAATCACACATATGATGTACTTCAAATGAAATCAGTGGCAGTTCTACTTGGAATTACTTCCCGGCGAGACATCCCTTGAGCGCCCCCCGGTATTTATAATATTATGAATTAAATGTGCATTATATGGAAGAACATCAAGGTGTGATTGACTTCAGCCATCTCATACAGTTGATTCAGACCTCCCCACCCCCCATCTATCACTCCCAGCGTGTCAAAAACAAACACTTGGTCAGCCACCCTCCTCGTCACACCCCTGACGCCAAAAGTGTCCTTTTTTGTCACTTATGTACGAAAAGGGGGTTTCCCCTTTTCTGACTGCAGATCCCAATGCAGCGTAAAACTGACGCGATGGGATGTCTGCAGCCTGGCCACCAAACGAGGTCATTGTACCTCACCCAAACTTCCCCTCACCCCTGTCCCAACCTTAACCATCTAGCTAGCTAAAGCCGGGCGTACACTGTGCGACTTTTTCACTTTTTTTGAGCTGATTTTCCACTCGTGCGAGAATCCACGAGATAGGGGGGAGTTTAGCGCTGAGCGTCGTGTAGTGTACGGGGGTTACGAGAGGCGATTAACACCACGTGACCAGCTACCGATCAGCAGCCGTGAGCTCGCACGGACTTCTGGTGTGTTTGATATTTTCCTAGCCCCTCGTGAGGGTATCACACTGTTGAAGCGGCGCGGCGAGCAGCTGTGACCCAAAAAGTATCAGAACCGCTCACGGCGCATGCGCAAACACAAAAGCGGGGCGGGATTTAAGGAAGCAGAAACGACAAACAAATCAGGCAAGACAAAGACAAAAAAACAATCAAAGAGCAGCATCATGGCCACGGGACAACAACGTGTTGTTTGGACTTCAGCAATGGAGGCTCAACTTGTGGAACTTTGGCAAAGCCACGCAAAACTTTACGATGTGGGCACAAAGACGTATCACGACCGCAACAATCGGGAGAAAGATCGGCAAGCAATTCCCACACCAGTAAGCATCTATGAACTGTATTGTTATTAGTAACAATCAAGTAATATTAACAGTAACATGTAGTAACATTAGATAATACATTTGCTTGAAACAGTAACTAATGAACTGATTTAATTCAATTCAATTCAATTCAATTAAGTTTATTTATAAAGCGCCAAATCACAACAAGAGTCGGCTCAAGGCACTTCACATAATAAACATTCCAATTCAGGTCAGTTCATTAAGCCAATCAGAAATAATGTTTCCTATATAAGGAACCCAGCAGGTTGCATCGAGTCACTGACTAGTGTCAGTGACTATACAGCAATCCTCATACCAAGCAAGCATGCAGCGACAGTGGAGAGGAAAACTCCCTTTACAAAATGTTATAATCCAATTTCTTTGATTTTCAGTGAACGAGGTGAAAACACACGTGGCAATGGTCAAAAACAACTCACCCCAAACAGAAATGGTTACTGGACAATTTGGATTTCCTGAGGCCCCACGTAATTCACAGAGCCACAGTCTCTAATGTAAGTTCATAAGCAAGACACACACACACACACACACACACACACACACACACACACACACACACACACACACACACACACACACACACACACACACACACACACACACACACACACACACACACACACACACACACACACACACACACACACACACACACACACACACACTTATAATACAGCCACACACACACACACACACTTATAATATAGCCACACCATAAGAAATGTACTCCTGACATAATACAATTAATAAGATCTCATATTTATTAACCCTCATCCATCTATTTGTATGTTTTCCAGTGCAGCTTAGCATGAATTCAGATGCCACATGAGCTACTGATGAGGGCAGCATTGAAGGGGGGAGCGAGGACCCGTCTGCTCCGGATAGTGACGCTGATGTGTCCAATTCATCTCCAGCCTTGGAAGAAGAGGAGGAAAGCAGTTCAAACTGCTCAGAGTTAAGCCGATCCATGAGGCAGCCCACCCAAAAACCCAGAATGCACAACTCAGACACCAACAAGAACACCAGCAAGAAATCTGAGCAAAGCCTAGAGATGGTCGAACTGTCATTACTCAAACAAGTACAGAGGTCACGCAACCAATCAGATGCTGAGGAGCAGTTTGGCCAACAAGTAGCTGCAGAGATGCGGAATGTCAAGGACAAACATTCACAGCTGAGGCTCAGGAGAAGCATCATGAACTTAATTTATGATGCACAAGAGGCAGAAAGGGCTGGACAATGTCCTGTTCCACATGTCAGTCCTGCACCTTCCTTCCACATGCAACAGTTCCACATGTCGGTCCTGCACCTTCCTTCCACACGCAACAGTTCCAGCCACCACGGAACGACAACTTTTTACGATCACCATCGCCAAAATCATACAGACGCCTGCTCAACTCGGACTAGTTCATTACTTTTATCATTAGTATCTTTGTTTTAGCATTTTTTAATCATCATTTTGTCTTAAAAAGGGAAAGTTTGCCCTTTTTTCTCCCACACAGGTTGTTTGGTGTCTATGTAAATTACTGTTTTTTTTAAATCTGACATTGTTTAAATATTTTTCATAAATAAAAAATCTTTTAGAAAATTTCTTTCATTTATTGTTCACAAATGTTACAAACATAAGAAAATGCATCACTCCACTCCCACACATTATGAATTTTCAAAAGAACCCACCCTAAGAACTGAAATCAGCCTTTAAATGCGGTTCCGTACACATAATCAATGTCTGGTTCTTGTTCAGAGAAAGCTAACAGCCAGACAGGAACAGCATCTGAGCCAATGACTGAGTGGAACCAATGCTCTCGCTTTATTTACAGAAGTTTTAACGCAGATGAAGCTACACCGTGTTTTCCTGCCAGGAAATTCTTCCTGCAGGTGAGACAAAGTACTGGGCTAACACATCACGCTGTTTCTTAGCCTCCACTGAGGGGTTCCTAGCTCTGCTTGCCGAAACTGACTGAAGGGCTCCCTCACTTCGCCATGTGCCGCTGACCAGCTGATGGTTTGCATCTTCAGAATCCACAAAGCCAGGTGGTGTGTAGGCATCTGATCTCTGTTGTCGGAGGAAGTTGTGGAGACAAAGTGTTGCAAAAACAACTGCAACAACTTTGTCTGGATGCAGGCAGATTGTGGTTCTGAAAACGCGAAAGCGATTGGCCAGAATTCCAAATGCGTTCTCAACATCACGGCGTGCTCTGGAAAGCCTGTAGTTGAAAATCCTTTGATCATGGTTGAGGTTTCGTGATGGATATGGTTTCATCAGATCTGGCCTAAGGGGATATGCTTCGTCACCAATGAGCACATATGGCATCGTGGAGTCAGTGCCTGGCAGGGTTGCATCAGGAGGGACAATCAGAGTGCCTGTGTCCATAGCCTCTCTGAGATCAGAACGGGCAACACTCCAGCTTCCTTGTGTCCCTGCACTTGCATAGACAAATCTATAATTTGTGTCAACTACAGCCGTAAGTATGATGGAAAACCTTGACTTGTAATTATAAAACGTGCTTCCACTGTTGGCAGGGGGTTGAATGAAGATGGGTTTCCCATCTATGGCCCCTATGCAATGTGGAAAATGCTACTTGTCTTCAAAGTCTTTAGCGATGACCTTCCACTCAGTCTCAGTTGATGGTGTCTGTGGAAGAAGTACATGGTGATACATTATATTAGTCTCAGGTTTAATCAGGACTGCACTTGCAAATTAGCTTCTAGCTAAATCTGGTGCAATGCATCACATTTCACTATTTATGCTTAATATTGCACGTGGTCCTTAAATAAACAAACAATGTTTAATTGATATTCTCTCTCTCAACAGGTTCATAATCCTCAGAATGTAAACACGCTTCAATAACAACTTTTATGTTCCAACTGTATGTGCATGGATCTGTGATGGCCTTATCAAGCATGTTTTACAGCTTTTACTGATCAAACACTCCAGATTCACATCAGCTTCTGCACAGCGGGATGGGTGGATGAACGGGTGAATGAGCTGTTTTAGGGCAGGGAAAAAACTACCTTTAGGTATTCCTCACGTAATACTAGAGCTATGGCTGCACAGGTTTCCATCACGGCTCAGTGTGGTGCTCCCAGTCCTGAACTGGA